TTGGTTTTGAGGAGGGGGGGGGGGGGGGGGGCGGAGGCAGCAGGAGAGAGGGCAAGGGCTACCCATCCAATTATTTTTCACAAAAGTATGACTCCAAAGGGTATGTTTACATATTTAGCTGGAAGGATGCTGGAAACTAATCACTTATATGAACGTGAAACTGTACCATCTTTTGTCGTCTCACTGTTTCATCAAATCCTGAGCAACAGATATCTGGATTTTGGCTAGAGGGCCCAGAGTCCTTCCTCCTAGCTATATTCTTTCCCTTCCTCCTTCCCCCCTCCAAAACCCCCCTAGTGAAAAAACTGTAAATCCACCCCCAAATTTCGTGAACTCTTCATTATCCATAAGAAGCATGTAGCGTTATGTTTTTGTACAATCTCCAGCAAACATGAACTGTCTAACAGCACAGCTACCACCCACCAAAAACATTAAGCATGGGAGCACTTCCCACTGGCTGAAATTCACTCCTACACAGGAAGTGCCAGACCAGAACCATTTGCATGGGTGTCTAAACAGGATTCACGCAGACTTTAGACACCTTAATCCGCAAACATAACTTGCCAGGCAGCAGTGCTGTCACACATGCCGTGCTGCTGTCTGATCTGGAAATTGCATAGCTGTATTTGCACAGTGCTTGGGATTGGATAATTAGCCCTGTCACTCATTGGGACAATGAACACCATATAACGCCATATAACATGACTATAGCACACCTAGTTCAGAAGGTTACCTGCACAGAGCAGCACACTGTATTTCAGAGTCTGTTGCTTTGCATGGTAAATTGTAAATAAATGCATGGGAAATTTGTGATAAAAATCATACTGAACTCACACAAAAACAATTCAGATTTACTCTTCTTCAGCCCAAATTGTTAGGCACCTCTACACTGATCTCTAAGGTTCCCTGACTTTAGGCTTGTGTACACGCTCAGAAGCAATCCAAAAATCAAGCACCTAGGCATCTAACTTCAACCCTAACTCTATTGTGATCTAGATTACTAGTGGACTCTCAAAACTCCCATTAAATTTCCAATCTGCTGGGCAGGAGTTTATCATAGAATAAATTTAAATGCCTAGCTGACACCAAAGGAAGAAAATCAAAATAAAGGGATCATGGCTCAATAGCCCAAAAAGGAAGACCCCTGGAAGGAGTCCCCAGGTTTGATCCCTGCTGCCTGAGTTGTGTGTTTATTTAATCAATGACTAATTTCAAATGGAAGTAGCCCTGGCAACAGGGACCCAAAGCTGGGACTCATCCTTTCCAGAGGTGTATCATCTTTACTAGGTACACATTCCCTCTTGTGTTCTTCTGGTCCCATGGCTCTAGCTCGCTTTGCTGGCCAATGGGCTCAACTTCAACAGAAGGGGTGATGCCCACCCTGCCTAGAGTATAGCCTGGTGCTTAGGATACCTTCCTGAAAATGAGATGTGGACTTGAGTTCCCGTAGACTAGAAAGAGCCTGGATTCCTGATCTCCCTCAGGCAAAACATGAACAGCACCACTGCCACCATCAGCCATGTCTGAGAAAACAGAATACTGAAATTTGTGCTGAGCACAGTGCTGTTTTTCAGATCTCTTGGTTTAAGCTGATTTGGATCAACTCCTTGGGTCAAGATGCCTAATGTTTAGGTGCTACAATGAAGAAGTAAAGGTACTTCTGAAAACAATTTGGATCCAACCACTATCCACACCATAATGCAGTATCAGTCATTATAATGGGATGTCTGTAACTAGTATCATATCTGAATTAGAATAAAACAGAAGCAAAATAATACTGTACAAAAGGGGAATCTAGTACATTCATGCTGATATTAATTGCACAACAATGATAGCCCTAAGAATTATGTTACTAGCAATAGATTAAATAAATGGTTAGCTTGTAATATCCAGAGCAACTTTGTTTTCTGAATAGTACTGCCAGGCACATATATTGCAAAAGAAAGTCATCCAATCCAGCTTGTGAATACAATTAAAATCTAACTCCAGCCAATTTCACTCCTGAGGCAGGAGCTGAAATACAATCAGTAATGGCAGAGGAAAATCCCATAGGAGACAGAGGCTGAAGATTAATTTTCCAACTATTCAAACTCGGCCTTCACTTATTGAATTACATTGTTACCTACCACTGACAGTCAGCAAAATATTTCACTCATTTCTCTGAAATAAATCTCCAGACCAATTTCTCCCTCCCCTGTGTCAGAGTTACCATCAATTTTTCCTTTCAATTCACATTGGTACCATTTTAAAACATTGCTGTACAGAAATATAGTTTACTGTTCTCTGTCAGAATAGAAGAAAGCGGATGTTGTGGCTAAGGACTCCACAGATGTAGATGTAGATTTCATTTACATTTGCCTGTAGACTTTTTGTGACCTCAGTCAAG